AACAACATGGTGGTCATATAATTACGGTACTTTTCAATATAATTTTTCTGTTTTTTTTTTTTTGAAAGGGTATGTATTTCGCTGCATAACATTTGAATGCAAAATCAGCTTGTCTTGTCTTGATCCCAGTAAAAAAAAAGTTTATTCCAATACAAAAAAAAAACTAATATGTTAGAGAGTGTATAATATTTGTGGTATTCCGTATATTGTTTTAGCTCAAAGAAAATTACCCAGACATAGAATTAGTCAGTAATATAATAAGAAACTTTAGGAAAAAGTGAAGTTCTTCTAGATAAGTCTATCCTTTTCTCGCAATAGGAAGACTATAAAATAATTAAAGCATATTTTTGTTCATTTTTAGTCTTACGCTGAGTGCCTATTGTAACCCGTTTTCGTCTGATTAGATGCATTTCTAATTAGAATACGACGATAAATAATTATTTATTTTCATAATAATTTAATATATTGTCGATTTAATACAACACCCCCTATACCGTAAGCTTCCTGTAGCATGTGCTGGGGGCGTGTATTATATATCTGTATTATTTGTGATAAGATGATAAGGTGTTGTATAGCATCACATCCAATGCGGTGCGGCGTGATAGAGGCGTGGTGGTGACGTCATCACACCCTGCCACGGATCATTTGGTACTGCCGCTATCACTATCACGAATCTAATTACTTTTCACACCGAGGCATCGAGACTTATGTATTATATAGGATTATATGCTTTACTTATCATATTCACTGCAAAAATAAAAGTTATATAAATGAGTCTTATGTATACAATACAAAGCACATAAGACAATTTTAATTGCTTGTTATTTTTGCTAATCAGTGATTTAATTCTTATTTATTACATATTAGGTACGTATAAGGACATAGGAAGTAGCCAAGTGACACAAAAATATAGACACGTTACGTAATCTTCTTGGAAGTCTTAATTATTAAATTGGTATATGTAGTCATAAATAGACCCATTCGACGAAAACAGTTACATCTCATAACGTCGTTGTGCCCATATAGTATTTCTGCAAATCTCCGAGTACCTCGGTCATCAGTATGCGACTAATTTGCGGTAAGCACAGTACGATGTTGAGCGGGTGACCGCAAGACCGTTACTGCGCGCACTGCAATTGTTTTGTTACAAGGATATATATTTGAATCATACTATGAAAATATATTTTGTAGTTACTAAAACTGAGAACTACAAAAGCTACATATTGAACTACTAACCATTCGTTTCTGAGACCGAAATTCCCGCTTAAAACATATCGTTATCTTTGTCTTGTCAAAGATAATGACAGGGATGACGATATGTTTTATACGGAGATTTTGATGTTAGAAACCAACGATAAGTTTGATTGCTTAATCTCTGTTAATATTAAAAGCTAGTTATCTTAAGTAATTCTTTAATACATCTTCTTTAACAAGAAAAATCACACATTATAAAATAAGTGGACTGGAAATGTCCTTTATAATTTTTTTAATCAACAATACAGACAAAAACTATGTTTTGCTATTTTTCGGCGGTAAAAAATGGGGTCTAGAATGTTCGATGCGATGATTGGCGGATAACAATTACTTTCTCTGTCTACACTTAATAGTTTCAAAAGGTTATGCACCATTGTCTTAATACTTTCGCTTTAAAACTTCTGCACGCAATTGGACCTTCAGAAGCGTTCCTCTCTCTTCTGTCGTCACTAAGTTATTGCATACGATAGAATCGGAATGAAAGACGACTAAAAACACGTTGTAAAGTACAGGTGTAAAATCATTTAATATCCATTGTTTTTGGACAGTAATAAATATAGCTCGTAACAATTTTAACTGGTAATTTAATTATTTAAGTTGACGAGATATTTCCTGTATAGATTAAATTTCTCCAACGTTAAAAAACGAACAAACAATCGAGGTGCATCAGAATGCGCGAGCGCACACTTTCGTTAGCTGGAGTCCGACGCATGCTAAGTCCGGGCAAGGGTAAGCAATGTCAATTGACCGACTTGTGAACAACCGTAATCTTCTCATTGTGATTTTGATCAAATATGCTACTCGTGCAGAGATAGCCAGACATGAAACTTTGTGTACTTTTTCTTTCTGTACTTGTCACATTCTTTGTGTTCAAAATAACAACGATGCATTATAGTTTCTGCCTGCGACACCGTCCGTACGGAATAAAAAAATAAATAAATTAGTAACATATGTGTTCTTCTAGATTACGTACTACATCTATGTCAAATTTCAGCGAGTTCCATTTAGCTGTTCTGGAGATACGTAATAACAAATGTCCATCAAACTTTCGAATTTATAAGTGCGATAAGAGGAAATAAATTTTAAATTAGCTTATTTTGACGAACGTTCAATGCTGTTTATTCTGATTGGATACCAAAAAACATGTGCCGCTTCGCAAATTATTACTTTTATTTTTATATTATTTGATTATTTAAACGATTGTTTCTCATAAAACAAATAAAACATGTGCCTTGACCCCAACGTAGTCCCCACCTCTTATCACGTGACATTGGTGACTTTCTTTTGTTTGCAAAATATCAGTCAGGACAGATTACTTTAGAGAGCAATAACAAACCAGTCCGTGGACTCGATCATTTTTACACAAGGGAGAAACGAGACAATTGTGAAATCTGTTATGATTCGATCGTGATTAGATATAACACAAAACATCTTGGATTCACTTTCTATAAGTTAGGTAGATTTTGTTAATATTATAAATGCGAATGTTTAGATAGATGGACTGATGAATATATCCAGAAACGGATCACTATGAACTATCGTACAGATACCAAAAATGCGTACAGTTCCCTTTGAGAACTTTTGATGCGCACATTTACAAGATAACTCCGCAACGGTTCAAAACACCTTGTTGTGTTGCCACGGATATAGAATATAGTCATGAGTAACACATGATATACTTTTCACCTGTCTTAATTCTGTTTGGACGATGTCGCGGGTAAAAGCTATTATTGCAGCTAAATAAAATTATCAAGAGAATCATCACGTGAGCGTACAGTTATCCGCTACGCAATTAATTCACGTATAAAACAGCCGTTAGATTGTCAGTGAGCGTACATTGAGTACTCGACCTTGACCCAACTGTGTCTGATGGTAGTTAACGGTAAACAAGGAGACATATTTGTTTTTAACCGAATATAAACACGATTGGTTACTTTAAATAGATCGACTGTACTCCGGGGAAGATTAGGAATCGAATGACACATCGCTGGTCAAAATCGGTCTATTCATTTATGTCATCACAAAGTACTTGCATAGAAACCCTCCTGTCTAATTAGTCAGTCAGTCAGGTAAAAAGCAGGAGGTTCTCAATTGGCTGAATGAGAAGGAACGTGAAGTCATTTTTTTTTGTTACATACACTTTTATTTACGATACCATCGGATCCAACTAAATTTGTGAAGCTAATGACGGGAGATAATTAAGTTACTTCTCAAATATAATTTAGATGTTTGGTATCGATTAACAAGAATATTTGTATTTGTCGAAATTTAACGCTTGTTTTCTCAAATCATATGCAAACATTATTACTGTACAGTAATTAACTTTATCACTCTACCGCGTTAAATATTACATACTAGCTGTCGCCCGCGACTCCTGTGATCCTCCTGAATTAGGAAAATTTCAACGACATCCATGCAGCTGTTCTGGAGATACCTTCTAACAAACATCCAAATACCCCAACATTCGCATTTATAATATTAGTAAGATTTTGATTGGACTCCCGGGTCTTTTGCACTCATTTCTAATGGTGAACAGTTAATATTGCTGGCTTTAAAAATAAATTTATAGCTACGTCCTTTTGATATAAGCGTTTCAGCTTCAAACTAGGAAATAAATACGTAGTCGTTACTTAACCTAAGCGATATTACATAAAAATATTATGCATGCAATATACAAGTTTTAGATATACATAACGAGTTAAATATACTAGTAATTATAAAGAGAATATTAATAAAATCAAATCGATTATTACTACGCTTATTTATATTTAAATTCAATATTAAGTAGAGAAATATTAATGAGTTTTTTCCCTAACTCTTACGATAGGGTACTAACTACACCCATGTCACAAAGGCTTATGTTTTTATGCCGAAGTAAGTTTATATGATATTATAAAATTACAAAAATTATGCAACAAGTGATCGAGATAACACCATTGATATAAAATATGTTATTTTTTGGTAAAAAAAAACAAAGATTACAATGTTTTATGTAAATATTTACACTTAATTCCTGCTATAAATAAAAGCAACTAAAAACCTACGAGTAAGATGCCACGTCTATCGTTAAATTGCCAGATGGAAGAGGAAAATCATGTAATGTTTGCTGATTATAAGAGTTACAAAGAGCCACTTGCTTATGCACCTAGGTCACATAGCATTGAAAGGTCTATCAGTTTAAAAATTACCCAATCATTATACGTAAAAATGATCTGACAATGCTACAACGTTGAAAAACTATATTATATGGAGATGGTAAGTGGTGTAAGTACAATAGATTGGAAGGTCGATAAGAATGAGGGAAATTTAATAGGAAAATGAGCACCATATTGGATCAATAATCTATTTTGCACCAGCTTATGCCTACGTGTGTAGTTTAACACTTAGCGTAACGAACGAAAATACACTTTTGTATATGGCAAATGGTCATATAACGTGCATTTCGTGCACAAAATAACTTTTAAAGCATACGAATCTAGTTTCGTAACAAAGAACGTGCTCTCGTATGAGGAATGGCAGCCCACGACGTTTGAAAACAGTGAAAGTGATCCAAAGTAGCGAACAACCCTGTACACCGCATGACCATGAACCATCACACCCAATATCATTCATACACAAAATCACAAGCTGATATTGATCGTCAGCAGCTGATAAGAGACTATTTAGAGATAATATTACACAAATATTCAACGATAAATTTTCGTATGGTTAACTACTGTTTTTGTAGATAAGGCAATGAAACTTACCTTGTAATAAATATCCATGAGGACACTGTCCGGCAGCAAACGCAAATCATTTCGATCGCACTTAAATTTCTGCAAATAGTTCACTAAATTTGTTAAACACAATTCATAAAGATTATCGGGTGTTTTCATTCCGCGCACCGCGAACGACGCGTCCGCCATTTTGGCGAGATAAAATAAAAGTCGCTTCATTTCGTTCGATTCTATAGAATGGTTGCAAAATTTGTACGAAGTTCAGGTCGGTTACTGCGACCCTATTGGTTAGAGAAACTGTCTCTTCGTTTCGATTGGCTGTATTAGCTTCGGAATTGTGTGTAAAAACAATTAGTGGCCTTTTCTGCCACGACATAAGGATCATGTGATAAAATATAAAACTAAATGAGCGAAAAAGGGATAAATGTATATTAGCATGTTGGAGCTTTAAACAAACAGCTGATTGTAGGTTTTGGGACAAGACGTCAGCTGACTGTGACGGCGCGCGAAACTTTGAGCTAAATGGCAAAAAGACACCTTTTCGCGTTTTTATATCAGCGAGTATCTTGATAATAACTTATTTGCAAAGCGTTATCTCCGGGATTAAATATCACTCATGCAGATGTTGACTTATATACATCATGTTCTAATTTATGATTTGATAAACATCCTTGGCCCAATGCTATTTTATTACAACTATGCGGGTCACACGGATATTTAGCTCGCTGTATTTTAAGTTTGCAAAAGTTCTTTTCAACTAAAATTTCGATTTGGAAGTTGTCAAACGTTTCTTCTCAGAATAAATCTTGGTTAATAAGTAGAAAAAAGAATGTAATACGTTCCAAAAAACAAAATGTTCACGCAATGTAAAAGATATGACTAAATAGGGTAACGTATTGTGCATTCCATGTGTAGCAGTGCATTGATAGGGAAAAGGCTTTAAATCTATACTTGCACAAGTATGTATTTAAAGAGGAAGGGGGAGTTATTATGTACACGATCATCCCACGTGCATATTTTTTCTTAAGATAATTTTTTTGTTGTTGATAAGATACCATCCTGGTACTGTCCTCGCCATTAAATAATTTATCTAATCAGTTATAACTTTTTACTTATTATGTAAAATTTTTTTTCACAGTCATGGCTATGTACTTGTATTTTTTTGAAGGAATTTTACTGAAGGAAGGAAACTTATTTGAAGGAATAATATAAAACACAATTTTGTACTATAATAAAATTTATTCAGAACTAATTAATTACTAACTAAACATTTCCAACAAACACAAATTGTGTACTATTTATTTAAAGCTAGCCAACTTATGAACTTAACATCATTCTTCTGTAAAACTTAATTCAACCTTATAAGTCAACACTTTGGTGATAAGAAACAAGTACAAATGTATATAGAAAAAGTAACCCTGTACAAAAATCCATACAAACATTATAAATGCAAAAGTAACTCCATAGTGCGTCTGTCACACCAATAAATCAAATATGACAAACAAAGTTCATAAAGGAAACTTAAATGAAAACATAATTGAATTGGAATTTATCAAATTATCATTCTGGATTCAAGGTTAAACTTATTAATCTACACTAAAAAATTTCTAGAAACGGTATCAACATAACATCAACAAAAACTTGCACAAAATAATTATAAAAAAGAAATTTACAACACCAATATTTGTCAACTCTTTTACCTGAGTGATTAATGAATAAAACCAGATGAATTCAGTACCAGCCTTTTAGTCAGTTAAAAATAAATTGGACACTTCTTTCATATCACCAAAGCGTGTCAACATTACCATAGATGTCAACATCTCTTTGATGTTTACTTCTTGCCAATGGTGAATTGGGAGATGCCCTCAAGCATAGCAATGTAGGCTGAGTGCTCATATGCGGTGCTGAAGTCAGATAGCTTTTGTACAAACTCGTTACTAACACCCTTTTCTTCAAGTAAGTTCATCAGCAGGTCGTATAGGTACTGAAAAATTATATTTAACTGTTAAATTTGGTTACAAAAGTATGTTTTAATTTTTTTTGCGGTGCATAATAATACTTGTTAATGATAATAAGGACAGATAACCAACTACCGTATGAAAAGGAAATTATATTTACATTTTACAAAATATATCTTTTATGTAAATATCAAAATTTAAAAATAATAATAGAATTTAAAAAAAATGTCCCATGTCAATGAATGAGCCTCGCACACACAAAGCTCAACTTCACATTAATGAATTCTGTCTACCCCATTTTTGGCACCTGACAACTACATGTTATATAGATTCAAGTGTGGCGTAATAAATGGGGCATGAAAAACCGACTTTATGATTTTCGGTCGAGAATCGAACTCACGACCTAGAGGTGATAAAACCACATAGATTATCTAATGAGCTATGCAGCTCTAATATCTACTAGTAAAAATAACTAACTCTAGTAACCACTATTTGAGTTGACTCATGGCAACTAAAATTCAAACTTAATTGCCATATACCACAATTTTAATACTAAATTTTGTAAGTTGTTTGAATATTTATTATTAAAAGTAAAAAAAGAAACAATGTAAAGTTCACAGTTCTAAGAGAAATGTGTATTTGTGTATGTTATGTATTATATAAAGATTTATTTATATACATACACCATCAAGTACATCTCCAGCAACAGCATACACCTTCTCTGACCATTCTCCCTTGTACAGCGTCACCTCATCAATACCAAAGATGTCATCTGAAATTATTTTATTATATTATGTAACAATCAAATTGACTTACATCATAAGTATCTCATGGAAGCATTCAAGGGTAAAATAAATAGACATATAGTAAGCTAGTGTGTATACCAATCTTTCAACCACACCGCCATTTAACATCACAATAACAAAGTTATAAAGAATGTTTCCATTTCTGATACTCACTGTATTCATCACCAGCCGCTGGTGGCTCCTGTAGGAAGGAGCATGTGAATCCTAAGGTGGCATCACCTCGCACTAGATCAACTTCAAATTGAGGCTTGGAGCGCATCTCTGTGAACTCCTGCTTTTCCGTTTGAACTTCCCCTTCACCAAAATCTTCAGAGTCAACTGTGTGGTTCACATTGAATGTGATTTTTACACTGGAATGTACGAAAAAATTATCCTCAACAAATTAAATATTCTGACAAATTTCTACCTAGAAATGGCCCTGTTGCGACAACATGATAGCATCCATATCTCAGTGACTTGGACTATTTTTGATATCTATGTTACTGTATTAAAAACAAGCATTATGGATTTGCAAATTAGACAGAGTTCTACAATATTTACTTACATTTCATCTTTGAGTTGTTTGGTTAGGACTACTTCAGCACCATCTCCCTTGACTTGGAAGCCTTCTACTTCCGCTGGGAGTGTCTTCAACTTCTGTGCTTTACGTTCTGCCACAATCTCCTCAGTCAGGAACTCAACTAATTCTCTTTCACCTGAAGTAATAAAAATATATCTTATCCAGTACACAAAATTCATACTGTGATCCAAGAGTTAGCTAGTTTTCACAAAAGCTACAGAAACATTTTACTACTATAATATTTCTAACTCATTACTCTTAAAATATCTTAAAAAGTCTTTGCCATCGAATTTTAAACCTACACCTAATTGTTCTTAAATCACTACTATTTCAACAAATACCATAAATAACAATTATAATTTAGCAAATTATTAATATAAATGTTTAATACCCTTATGCAGAAATAAGAATAAAGTCTTATCTCTGGATGAAATACTAATTAATATACCCTGTGACTTACATATGAGTAATTACATTAAATAACCCATTACATAGTATACAGGGATGTCACAATAGCATTTAACTTAAAGTTATAACCTTCTCAGGCAGCACATATCAATTACTACAAAGGAATAAATACAGAGGATTGAAATAGGATCAGGAGTTAGGTCAGGAACTTACCAAGTGCTTTACGTTTTGCTTGCGGAGTTTCTTGGTCTGTGTTAAAAAGGAAAGGTGTTAGACGGGTAGAAATATAAATATTCAATCGAATATCAGGTCTCCTTTTAAGCTATCCGGTATGTATGCATACTAAGCATGGTGTAATCATATAACCTAAAAATCTAAATTTGTTAAAATACCTTTTGTGTGCAACGCCTTTAATCCACAGCCGCAACTGCAAGTATTCGAGTGATTGTGCAATATATTAGTAGCAGAACCTCCCAAACGACTGGAACAGCTCATGTGCCATATACCTCTCGTGAAGTCACGTTTTACAGGTGCTTGACTTCGGGACACCAAAGCGCTCGTTATGCTGGCATTTTTAACACAATTTTGCATAACTCTTTGCGCTGTTTTCACTAAACCATTCATTTTTATAATGTTGTTATATTACTTTGTGAAATAAGTTTATTTCAAATAATGTAATGCCAAAAAGAATCAAACCTTTAGCGATCGGCCGAATGTCAATTTTATTCACATCGAGTAAAAATTTGTAGTTGCCAGTTCTTGATTATTTTACAGAATTTTTCCTTCGAATCGTTTCTATTTTCATAATGTGAAATGTTTCGAACTTAAAAACTGATCTATTTTTAAAAGGTTAAATATAGAAGACAGTGCTAAAAGAAATGATTTTATTAAAAAGTGGTCATTTAAGCAATAAGTTGGTAACCCTCATAAACCAATTGTCAATGTCATCATCTACATTTGTCAAGTTCACGTGTACATGCACATTTGGTGTAAGAATTCTATTTATTAAATAAAATAAATTTGAGCGTAGCGTCATGGCAAGGAAAAGGAAAATCGAGGGACAAGTTAAGCAACAAAAGTCTATTCCCGTAGAGGTTATAGCTGAAGATGTAACCAGCCACCCGCTGTGTCTTCATGGACCAACTTTGTTGTTTTCTTCGGAAAAAGGCCGATTTTTCTCTTGTTCATTATGTCGCAAGAAACAAGACTGTACTGTGCACATTGAAGAAGATGATTGGAAAAAAGAGAACGTTCGAAAACTAAATGAGAAGTATTACAATTTGATTCCGAAACTTGATAAAGCGGCTGCGTGGAAAAATTTCAATGAGGTTAGAAAACAATTCAGCTTTACGTCCTTAAATTCCTAAATTCAATGTGTTTTAAAATACTTTTCCTTTTTATAGATCAAATTGAAGCATGCAACAAGCAGAGCTTATTGTGACACATGTAAAGAACTTTACGTTGTGGCGCAGAGCAAGAAACATTTGAAAGATCATAAAGTCATCATGTCATTAACGGATGAGCAACTTGCGAATCCTACAACATGGCTGCCACCACTTGAAAATGATCAGAGGGAGGCACAATACTTGTTTTCTAAGAAAGCAGTTAGTACAGTGTTAGGGATACTCAAAAACAATAATATCAGGTACTTTCAGACTAAAATTACATAATTGTTTGAATATTTATTATATGTAAAAGAAGTAATATTTGTACTTAAATAGCCCTATAATAAAGTGATAAAAGCACCTACCCTCTTCTTGCAACTAAATAAATGAACCTACTTTCTCTTCTTCATTTGATAATTTTATGTTATAATTTAACATAAACAGATGTTATAATTTAACATAAGTACACATTAATGTTCTTTATAGCTCATTATCAATGTTTTCTAAGCCGAGATTTTAATTTTGTAATAATTATTTTTAGTAATATACTATGTGTGGGCACACCTTCTATACATGAAGCTGCACAAGCACATAGTGACTTTGATTCTTTACTCCTGGACTATGACACCCGCCACCATCTCTTCAACCCACCTAATAAGTTCCTTTGGTACAACATGTTTAATGACTATTTGTTTAATGGTAATGAAGATGAGAAAATCTTGAAGAAGTTCTTCAAAAGTTCCAAGTAAGTTTTTGATTGTTCATTTTGTTTATAATTTACTTTATTTCTAGTAGCTTTTGCTTTTTTTATGTGTAATATAGGCTTACATAAAATTACCAATTATTCCTTTCTAGCATAACATAAATGTTACAGCATTAAAAAATACTTAATATGTATGTGTTCTTCCAGACTATTTTCTTTGTGTTTATAAAATTAGTAAGATTTAGTTTCATGTGTATTTCAGGGATAAAGGACTCTGCATTGTGATAGACCCTCCATTTGGTGGTCGAGTGGAGCCATTAGTTCAGACCATCAAGGATTTATCTGCAGCCTACAGGAAGGTTTGTGAAGGAGAGGGATTGTTGCCAGTCATCTGGGCTTTCCCTTATTTCTCTGAACCGTATATACGAAACATTGCACCAGAAATCAAGATGCATGACTATCAGGTGTGTATAATAAAAATATTTTATTATTTTTATATTTCTCTTTGATACCATGTGTATTTCGTAAAATACATTATTAATTTATGATTTATTTTTGAAGTAAGATTAATGGTATATCTTTTCAGGTAGAGTACCAAAATCATAAGAAATTCCAAAAAGGAGGTCGCAAAGTAGGCTCTCCGGTGCGTTTCTTTACGAACCTACCATTTAATACTATTGATCTGTCAAATGATAGTAACTACAAACATTGTGATAAATGTAAATACTGGGTGTCAGTGAGCAACGCACACTGCAATAAATGCAAGGAGTGCACCAGTAAAGATGGTACAACATACAAACACTGCAACAGCTGTAGACGTTGTGTCAAACCAACATATGAACACTGCAAAACTTGTGGAAGATGTTGCCATGTTAAACACGAATGTGGAACTGTGGTAGAATCACAGGTAAGAAGTTTTTAACATCATCTATACTATTGTAACTTTTTTGCGTTACTAAATAGATAAAAAATTTATGTTTTTGTAATTTATTTCAGTCTTGCTACAAATGTAATGAGAAAGGTCACAAGCAATCTCAATGTCCACAAGTCGAAGAAAAGGTGCAAAAAAAGAAAAAACGAAAAAATGCCTAAAGTCATTTTTTTATAAAATAAATTGACTAAATTTTAGCGTCTTTGTTTTTTTTTCGAATAGTTTAAATAGAGGATGGTTTAGAATATATTTTTCTTAACAAAATAAGACCATGTTTGACTGTAATAGTTTATTTCAAGAAATGATTTAAAATTCACAATAATCAACGATTTGTATTCCAGCATAACACAGATATTTAAAAAAATTATAGATATATACAATAATAAAAATTAAAAATAATGATCATTAAAAAATATTAATTACAAATAATAGAAATGTAAGTTTTTTATCAATAAATAGAATATTCTAAAACATTAATATTGTTAATAAAAATACAACTGATTAAAAATTAATTAACCTGACTAGAAAAATAAAAATATTGACAATATTTAGATGATGTCCCAAAAATACAATGTTACAAAGTTTTATTTAAAATTATAATTATAAAAATCTATAAATCAATCAATTAAAATCAAAAAACAATCCTAGTGGCACTTTAATAGTTATAAAAACGGTACTCATTCTATAAAAAAAAGATTTCACTTAAAGTTATTTTTACAAAAAAATATAAATTACAAATATTATTTTTCCAGCCAGGCTTTACAATCAATAGTGATTACATTTTTGTCTTATTTTATCTATGCAGATGATTGTTAATCTGAGTGGAATATGTTTTACCAGACATATAATAAAACCAAGGAAACTACTCAATAGTTCATTTACCATCAAATTCCGCTTTTGTTTGTTATCCCTTTCATTCTATTTGAAAATAACAAAGACATGTGTCAATACTTGCATTGACACATGTTGTTTTGCAGGAAAAGTTCACAATTATACTTAAAATATAATTTAACTCTCGTGCTGTTTGTGTGCTTGTGTTCTGCAGCTTGTTTTGTCTTTAGAGTAGTCTAGTATTTATAATCACCATTACAGAGCACTGAAACAAACAAAATATTATATTAATTAAGTACATTTGACATAATACTTTTGCCTACAAAAGGATGAATAGTCATAACTGTATATGTGACTCACTTGACATTAATATTGTTGAGTACTCTCTGTGTCTCCGTATACCGTGCCTCCACTTTAGCACCCTGAGCAAGCCATGCTAATCTGATACCATTCCAACGCTTTGAGTATTCCTCTAAAAGTTTCTCTCTACTTGGCGGTGGGGCTTCACGCTGAAACAACACACAAATTAGTATATTATATTTAAGTTATTTTCTTAGATAAGTAAAATTGAATAAAATTAATTGATTCATGTTTACAAAGTATTTATAATGAATATTTACATAGTTTAAATTAATTTTGTCTTTGTTGCACAGTTTCTGTTCTGGTGTGAGATCTGGTATTCTGGATACAGGTGGTCCCTCTGGTCCTGGTAGCTCTACACTATCCTCTAATGTTTCTGGTTCCGGAATACTTTTTCTGAAAATATAACAATGGTGAAATATTATAAACATTATGTTCTTATTACTATCCAATTGATTTTATACTAAATAATTACCCAAATTCACTATAATCAGCCTTTGGTTGATTTGCAATCCATGCTCTACAGATAGGATACAGTGGAGAGTCTTCACTGAACTGTGACAAGTCAACACTCCTGTCAAACAGTTTCAACACATAAGATTGACGCACTGGAGACTGTTTCCTCCGTGGCCTCTCATCTTCCGATGAGTAGTCTCTGTGTTGATCATAGCTACTTTGCCTGTAAGTACATTTTTTTTATTTTAAGATGCAATATTATTTTCGTACTTTCCGATAGTTTAAAGTTTACAAAAACATACCTTCTTCGCTTCACAGGGCTACCTGTTGAACCATCAGATTCATCTCCAAGAACCTCCAGCAAGGCACCTTTTAGACGACCACGTGCTGTAAACACTTCTTCTAAAAAAATAAGATAACTAAACGAAAAGAAAAAGCATTTTCAGGTCAATACTTTTTTAAATTTGGTTTTCATCTAACACAACATAAAGTCACATTTTAAAGCCTATAACATTTAATGAAGAAGAACAATATGTGTTACCGAATAACGTTGTAATTAGTAAACATATGCAAATAAAACATACAAATAAATACGAACTTACTTTTGTTTTCATCGCTATCCTTTCCATTACTTGTTTTTGATTTGTTTTTCGTAGCAAGTAATCTAATACGTTTTGACATAATTGTGGTTACTTCTTTAATGTCACTCAATGTCGTATGTAGTATTTTTATAAATTAAGTGAATAAGTTTACCTACATCAATGATTTGTTCCTAGGTTAAAATTAAAATGCAAATTATAAATCTAAGTTGTTGTAACCATTTTTGACAGCTTGCGGACATAGAGTATGCGGATGTAGATTGTAGACGGTAGATTAAAAAACATAGACTAAAATAAAGTGGTATTTTTTGTGGACTATTAGTTTTTTGATAATATTTTTGCTGTAGGTCTTGCAGAATAGTAATTAAATTAAGGCAATGAGTTATTTTTTTTAATTGATAGTTGCCAATTAATAATAAATCTTGTTATGTTATCTGTGACACAACATTGTCTTTTGGTATTTATACTATATCTATTTAAGATTGATAAGTTTGACAACTGAAGCTTATGAAGTACCGAATTAATTTTGTATGACATTTAATGTGTACTTACTAGACGGTTATCATAGGGTTGGACCGTCACGTTCAACCAACAACTGTTAACTATCGAGTTTCGGTATCGTAACAAAAGAAATCGAACAAATAAATACTATAAGTTAGATCTGCTTTAAATTTTTTAAAAGTATTTTTTTATTTCTTTATGTAACTACATACTATCTAACTAATATTATAAATGCGCTTGTTTAGATGGATGGCAAGATCAAGACGTGCACGACCTTCAGGAATGAATAATACGAAGAAGAAGAAGATGAATGGATGGATTGTTATTTGAAGATATTTCCAAAACGGCTAAACTAATCTCGATTAATTAGGCACTAACACTAATACTAGCACTAATACTAATGAGGTTTTCGTTTTAATTCCGAGCAGACGGAGTCGTGGGGAAGGTAGTGACCAATAAAGTAGGAACAGAAAGAAACAATTTTATTTAAATTGTATTTCTTAAATCACGAGAATTTTTAGAAAATTACGAAATTATCGATTGCATGTTCTATGAGAACACTCATCGAAAATCGAAAAGATTGATTTCCGATTTTCCTCAACCCATCCCTAGCAACATGTCAAATGAATTGTTAGATAGACATACTATAGTAAAAATAAAAAAATTGTGTTCAAACGTCAAAATCAAAATATCAAAATAGTTGCATGCGAAAAAACTGCAGGAACGAAAATTCCTGTATAAACTTAATGACGGATTTATGAGATTTATAATTGCAATTTTGCCATCTGGGAGCTAGGATGGCTACTACAGCATACGAACATGATGCTGATGGTGAGGTTTGATTATTCTGATCATTGTTGTTACCTATCCCTTTAAAGTTGTTTGAAAAAAGTTATAAGCAACTACATAACACTATTAATAATCAGTTCTTAATGCAATGATTCTTAAAAGTTTGTATTAGTAGTTATATTTCTCTTGAAGTATACATGAAGTTTTTTTAACTTCGCTTTACGCTTGATTGCTTATATGCAGTAAGTTTATTGGTTTCCACACCGAATTTGAGTAAAATTTTGTGATTTCGAGCAGGTTGTAAGTTTATACCAGCTTCACAACGTCCCGACGGCACTTGGCGTAAACCTCGGAGGATAAGAGAAGGTTATGTCCCCCAGGAAGAAGTTCCGTTATACGAAAGCAAGGGTAAACAATTCAAGGCTCGTCAAAACTCAGGATTACCTGTAGGTCTGACACCGGAAATTGTGGCCCAAGCTCAGAAAAAGAAAGGACAAGGAGGTACAATTCAACCCATACCTGGTATGATAATTAATGTAGAAAAGAAGAAAAAGAAGAAGAAGTCAGGTCTGTGATATTTCAAATATTCTTAAATTAATTAAGATAGTTCCAAAACTGGTAGTGTAACATTTTTGTAAAAATTTAAATTTATAAAATGATGAACTGCTGAAGAAACTTATGGAAACTAGGAATCTGTTTTGTTTGTGTTAGATGTATGTTGATCAGTTCAGAACCGGCTCAAAAATTGAGGTAAGTCACAGATTATTGAACTGTGCCTCAAGAACTAAATTTGCAGCTCAATATGGTGTATTTTACTTATTAACCGATGAGTCGGTTGCCAGCTGATGATTTGTAAAGGGACCAATTATAGGTCTATGCTGTTACAAATTGAGCTGAACTGCGAGCCAGTTCACTCATCTTTTGCATACATACAAACTAGGAGGCTTATTTTAAATTTATTCGGGAACTATCCGCAGTTCAGTTGTCATATTCCGATAATCTTTTCCATTCTTTAATTGATGTCTATTTTCTACTTAAATATTTATCCTTATTATTTAAAATATGCATATTAATGATGTCTCTTAGATGTTTTAAAGATATTATAACTTTTTCTAAGCTATTTTTTTAATAACAGGAGTAGAGGAAGCAGCAGACAAGCTATCTAAATGTGAAATAATAGAACCTACATTCAGTACTCCAACACCTTCCTCCAATAACTCCACGCCGAGTTCTGACCCAGCAAAGAGATTAAAGAATCTAAGAAAGAAATTGAGAGAAATTGAAATGCTTGAAGAAAAAATAAAATCGGGAATGTTAAAAACTCCAGATAAGGATCAAAAAGAAAAATTGTCAAAGAAAAATGACATAGTTATTGAGATAGAGAAATTAGAGATTGCTAGTGATTAAGTTAATTAAAGAGAAAGCCAAAATGGAATAAAAAAAGAATTACACTATAAGATATATTGACAATGAAACAATTTAATTATCACTGCCTGAAACTGAGGATCATGAGAGCAATTTGTGTTGTTTTATTCAATTATAAATTATTTACAATCGTCAATCATATTTCAATCATTTCACATTCCAACATCGATAAGTTTAATTCATTCATTATTATTCACACATTAATTTTACTCGAAAAGGATGGTAATAAGAGCAGCTGAAACTGATGTGCATGTATGCATAGATGTATGAATGTATTATAGAAGATAGAAAGGTGTTAGGATCTCGCCGAACGGAGTTCTGTGGTCTCTGCCTATCCCTCTGAGTTACTAGTGTAAGTTATGTTGTATTTTATTTTCCAATCAACAAGAAAATCAAAAACTGTCTAATTTAGTGATCATATACGTAGTATTGATCATACTTAAGGTAACCATAAGTGGTTAACAAATGCGTTTGTTCTCCTTTCCTTTGTCTCTTCTGACTAGTGTCATGTCATTATGATTCTTACTAATATTATAAATGTGAATGTTTAGATGAATGTTGTCTCTGGAATGGCTTAACAGATTTTGATGAGATTTGGCACACATATCAAACATAATCTGGAAGAACACATACACTATTTAGTTTTTTTTTAATACCGAGCAGATGGAGTTGCGGGCGACTGCTAGTTATTTACAATGATGCACATTTTCTCATATTAGACTAAACTTTGAACAATTGATCAGCATAAAAATTTGGTAAGTTTAAAAAGTTGTTACAAAGTTAAAAATAGATTGACTGAAAAATGTCTGGCCATATTCTAATAGTTTAGCAGACACATCAGTTCACATTGCGCATGGGTGAATCAGATCAGTGAACCAGCCAAGGGATACACTCTGTGACCATTACCCATACAACTGAGGGAGAGGGATGGTTAAAGTTCTTTGTACTTCTTCTAATGCCTCTCAGTACTGGAGGTTGGCCGTCACCTCCCATCCTTGTCATGTGCTAAGAAAAAATGTTGTTCTTAACTCTAGGTCCCTATTTGCAAATTAAATAAACACTTTCAATGGCACTAAGATTTTAACTTTCAAGATAATTTGGCACCAAATGTTATGCAACCTATTCTTTACCTGTATTTTATTCCCGCTGCCATTTATTGATAAATTCAAATCTCGAGAATGCTATTGCTCCATAAAAGTTAAGAAAGTCATTTTGTTCAAATAAGTCAACATTATTGACTACAAAATTTATTGAACTTAGGAAGCTTTATTACATAAAGAATGTTTACATTGGAGACGGTGTTTTCATTATTTAATGGAATAACTTTGTGAGATAAAAGTTAAATTTTTCTATTATCATAATATACATATTTACAAAAATACTAGTATTATAAAAAAATGGTGATTATTGCACCACAGTATTTAATATGTTCAGAGTCCCTAAGATTTTCTCATATTTGATGATGATTCTGCTCTGACTGAAACTCTGATTCTGATGGAAGTATTAAAAGGTTATACAACACTTTAATATGATTATATTTAATATTTATACAATTATAGTAAGCTTTTTAACATCCAAATGAGAAATGTACTAGAAAGACTAAGAGCTTCACCCGAAAGGAAAACTAGCCAGGTATGTTCTGTAACAAAATAAAAGTAAAATTGATTTAAATTTAGATGATTCAAGTTTAGGTTATAAAAATCATGTCTGTAGAAATTTTACGTGTAAAGTATAAACACGTAACAAATATGCATTAACTGTCTTAGTTAAAAACAGGTTTCAAGCAGTTAAATCACAACGAATTTAATGGAAAAACTTACATTGTTTCAAATGAATTCATTTCTAGCTTTCTGTCTCGCATAATTGCCCAAGCATGCTAGGATTCCAACAACGGCAATACCGATACCTAAGACCGTTGCTAGGAAATCTCCAAAATCGTATCCTGATGATGCTTCCACTTTATTAATCGCTAAAAACGCGAATACGAATATACACAACTGATGATACATGATTTTTATTCAGTATTCGATTATTCACCTGAATTGAATATGAATGGTAAATATCAGATCTTATGTTCCACAAATCGTAAATATTTTGTTAAGTTCACTTAGAACTTTCGTATTTTGGTATTTTATATGACATTTGACAGCAAAGAGTATATAAAATGTTTGACAGTTTAAAAAAGTTTTGACAATCTCAGTCCCAGAGTATCTAAATTGTATAAAAGGTAAACAATAGATGCGTCTGCGGTTTGCTGTAGATTTTTAATGTTTTATAAGTTTATGTTCGTATGATGGATAAAAAAAGAAACAGAGATGGGCTCCTATGGTGTTAATTTACTTCTTTAAGTGCCAAAATACCAAATATAGCCTTTACAAAATTCTACCATTAGTAAAGATAACAATTTCAGAAGGCAATGGAACGCCAAGTATGGCAACCTGGTTTACATGCTTTTTGATGGCAACCCAGAAACTAGAAGAATTTCTCATAGGCGCTGTTGTTATTTTGCTTATTTGCTTTTTGAAGATATAAAAATTGCAAATAAATATCAAAACATCCTTTAATATAACGAATAAATTTTCGCTTAAGTTTAGTTTAGTATTTTCGTTTAGTTGTCAATTACAGTGTGACATGCGCTAAAAGTTATAAACAAATAACCTCCCTGTTATGATTAATTAATACATACTGAATATTGTTCTACAAATAGTACTATCCAAAATATCAATATGAGTTATAATTCGGGGGGCAGTGGTGGGAAAGGGTTCGGGTTCGCAGGATTCTCGATGCCAAAACGAAATCCTTCGAATGTCTCCTTGCATGCAGTTCCACCTCCAACGACACCGATGCATGCTGTACCACCGCCAAGTACAGGCCTCTCCAAACAAGGATACTCAACAATGAATGCTATAACTCAAAATGCTGTGGCTGGTAATTGGGGAACGCTGGGAAAAAAACGATCAAAAACCGAAGATGAGTAAGTTTGAGAATATTTCATTTATATCATTTTGTTGTTTATCAATATAGATTACTTAAACGTCCAAAAGCTAGTTTTCTCCCGGTTATCATTCCGAAAATGACTTGATATTTTAGATTAAACATGTTATTATTTTTGTAGATATTTTGATGATGATGATGAGCCTCCAACACCAGCCTTGGCATACATTCCAGCACCTGGTAGTCCCACCAATGACATTGCTTCAAGCTCTAAGGTACTAGAATTTTTATTAATTGTCATTATAATATGTTTAGATATTAAGCAGAGTCTATTCTCAATATATCACCAGTTTTATATTTGTAGGGACAAAACAGTGGCAAGAAATGTGTTAATTATTAAAAATATTGTTTGCTAATAGTAAATTGTTGTAGGCTGATGAAGATGAAGAGGACCCACTGGATGCTTATATGGCCGGATTAGAAAAGCAGGCAGCTAAGGACATGGTCACCAGTAAAGAAAATGCAATAGCTGGTAAAGAAGACAGCGGCAGAGGGACCAGAGGGGATATTGATGAGTTAGATGATGAAGAAAGTTACTATAAGTAAGTAACTATGACACTACCATATTTTGTTTGAGTTTGAAGCTGAAATATTTTTAGTAAACAGTTGAACCTGCATAAGTGACTTCTATAAGCTAGAGTCACTGTCTGGTGCTTAAAATCACTTCCATAAGCAGGAAACTTGTGGCAGAGAGAAACTTCTATAAGCAACAAAAATATTTTGGTTCCTTAGCTTATACAGGTTTAACTTTATATCATAACTAGCTGTCGCCCACGACTCTGTTCATCCGGTATTAATGAAACTTAATAAGTATCCTATGGGTTCTTTCAGACTGATCTGTATCTATGCCATTCACAAGATACCTTCAAACATCCATCCATCCATCCAAACATTCACATTTATAAGGATGATGCGATTGTATGGTTTTAACATATAATATATGATATTTTATCATATCAATTATTTCTCCTACAGATACATGGAAGAGAACCCTCTTGCAAATGTTGGTGATGAATCAGATCAAGAAATAGAATATGATCAGGATGGAAATCCAATAGCACCACCAAAGAAGAAGATAATAGACCCGTTACCACCTATTGACCATTCTGAAATTACTTATGAACCATTTGAGAAGAACTTCTATGTGCCACATGAGGAAATTGAAAACTTAACACATCAGCAAGTTGAAGATTTGAAAAAAAGTTTGGGTGTTAAGGTTAGTAAATTGCATTTTTCAGATACCACTGCCAATGGTAGTTTTAGACTATGACATACATGGTGTACTTAGTATATAAACTTAAGTGTCTTGTTAGTTTCATCTTAGTTTTGCGCATCCCCTCTTCCTGCGATTACAAGTAGGCAATGCATTTGCATTTGAAAATATTTATGGGTAGCGTCGCTTCGCTATTTCGAATTCAGATGAATGCACGCTCATTTGCGAATTTATGATATAATTTAAAACAACTGATATACGCGACTCCATTTGTGTGCAGTGGAAAAAAAAACTTAAATAGTAGTCTATGCAATCTTGCAGACTATGTTCTACATCTATGCCAAATATCAGTGAGATCCGTTCAGCTGATTTGGAGAGATCTTCTAACATGCATCTATGCATCTAAACTTTAGCATTAAAAATATTAGTAAAATTGTACTATGTTTCAGATAACAGGTCCGGATCCCCCACGGCCAGTAAGCAGCTTCGCGCACTTAGGCTTCGACGAGCAGTTGATGAAGGCGATACGCAAATCAGAGTACACGCAGCCCACCCCCATACAGGCGGCTGGTGTGCCCGCTGCATTGTCCGGCAGAGATCTTATTGGTATGCTTATTCATGTACTTGATTACTCTGTAAAAAGTTAAGTTTTTCCTAGAAGCACTATTTTAGTAGATGTTAGACTAATTTGAGATTATTTTTTACCCCATACACCGGTGGCTTGTCTTGGGTTCAAACAAATTCAATGGTTGAAGTCAACCTGCACTAGGCCAGTGTAGTTGACTATGGCCAAGTGGCCCGAATGTTGAGTAGGCTCCCAGTCTTTGTGGGGACGTATAGTGAACTGATGATGACCAGTGGCTCCCTCTATTTGTTAAACATAATGTAATATACAAGTAAAATATTGAAATTGTCTAACGTTAATTTTTTTTTGTATGAAATTTCTAGGTATCGCCCGTACTGGTTCTGGTAAAACTGCAGCGTTTTTGTGGCCACTTTTGGTACATATAATGGATCAGAAAGAGCTTGCTCCGGGGGATGGTCCCATTGGCTTAATTCTGGCACCTACCAGAGAATTAGCACAACAGGTAAGACCTAGGGCCTTTTTAGATTTTCAACAAACAAAAAATTTGGAAAAGTGATCTTTTTATGTCAATTCAAATTTGTTTTTTCTAGATCTATATGGAAGCTAAACGTTTTGGCAAAGTGTACAATATAAGATGTGTGTGCTGCTATGGTGGGGGATCTAAATGGGAACAGTCGAAAGCTCTAGAAGGTAAGTCACCATAGATTAATAAATAATTAGTAGCCAATGTTTTCTTCCAAGCTACATAATTAATACTACATATATGCCAAATTTCAATGCAATCTGTTCAATGCAGCAGAGAGCAAAAAAGAGATTCCTTCTAACAAATCCATCCATCCATCCATCTATTCGTTCAAACATTCGCATTTACAAATTTTACTTTTTTAGTTACTTTATTGACTTAATCATGTTTTATGTATGTTTTACTTTTGTATAATATTTGAATGAAAATCTTTTCCAGGTGGTGCTGAAATAGTAGTAGGCACTCCAGGACGTATGATAGATCTTATCAAATGCAAGGCGACCAACCTGCAGAGAGTCACATACCTTGTGTTGGACGAGGCTGATAGAATGTTTGATATGGGATTCGGTAAGTGAACAAAGAGAAAAGTTTTATTATTTATTTCATTAAATTAGCTAAATAGGTTTTAAGTAAATAGTTTGAAATCGTTATAATGCTTAGAAGTGTACACACGATTTGACAAGTATTTTTTTAGTGGATTTTACCGATATAATGTTTGGTTGATTTTGAATCTATACAATTGTAAATAGAATTTGTTTCAGACATCAGTAACCGCTAAATATTATTAGGAATGATTTGTTTGTCTGTTTACAATAAATAGGCTCTAAAACTATTCAATTGGTTTGAAAAATTGTTTAACTCTTATGGAGCTACACTCACCCCGGGGAATATCTTTCTTATTATCTTATTATTATGGTTTCTATTAATTTTTTTAATTGTGTGGGCAACTACTAGTATAATATAATGTGACACGAGCGATATTGTACAGAGCCGCAGGTACGTTCTATCTGCAACCACGTGAGGCCGGAGCGTCAGGCGCTGCTGTTCTCCGCCACGTTCCCGCGTCGCGTGGAGCGCCTGGCACGCGACGCGCTGCACGACCCCGTGCGCGTGCAGCACGGCGCCGCAGGAGAGGCCTGCGACCTCGTCACTCAGCACGTCAAGTATGTACACAATGTACACTCACCTGCATTAATATGTATACATTTCATCACTTTACAATCTTATGAAACACTTCGATTTCAAAAATACGTGTTATATTCGTTATATTTATTGTGTATTCGACAATTTCTTATATTTATAGTCGGCACGTGTATACATATTTTTGACACCGAAGTCATATACAAGTTTCTGTAGCTTTGTAAAAATGTATAGATATTTATGCAGCTGACTGTACGTCGTAAGCAACATGTCCGAACTGTACACTAACATAATTGCAATACCGTACGATATTATTAATGTTATTTGACCAGTAATTATAATCAAAATCTTTGTTTTGCAGGATTTTCAACAAACCAGAGGATAAATGGTCCTGGCTGTTAAAAAACCTGGTGGAGTTTTTATCTGCCGGAAGTGTTATTATATTTGTTACTAAAAAGGTAATGTTTTATATTTTACACCAAAATAATCAACTAAAATAGTGCACACAGATCTCGAGTGTATGTAAAATGTTGTGAAACTGTCAGCTAGAAGCGGAGCAGACAGCAGCGAACCTGGCCGTGCAGGAGTACGACGCGCTGCTGCTGCACGGAGACATGGAACAGGCAGACAGGAACAAGGTCATCACCGCATTCAAGAGACAGGAGAACAGCATCCTCGTCGCCACTGATGTCGCTGGTGAAAACACTCATCTATTATTTTCAAACTAGCTAAAGGAAAATGTATTTTTTTCTAACTAGTGCATTGAAGTAAACTTTTCAGCTTAGTAGAGACTATTATTTAAACATACATGAGATATTTGGTTTAATTGGAGCTGATAATTAATTATTTAGAATTAATTTAGAGGTGTATTATTTTTTGTTGTGTAGCTCGTGGTCTGGACATCCCGCACGTGCGCACTGTGATCAACTACACGGTGGCGCGCGACATCGACACGCACACGCACCGTGTCGGGCGCACAGGACGCGCCGGAGTGCGCGGTCACGCACACACGCTGCTCGCCCGGGACCGCGACAGGGAGTTTGCAGCTCATCTGCTGCGCAACCTAGAGGCCGTGCAGCAGGTACATTACACCACTACGTACACTTATACGCACTTAAGTACACACTTGTACGCACATGCGTACATATGTGGTACACCCTCGCAAAGAGGCAACAATTCACGTTGTCTCTGTTTAAATAACATTGATAAGATGTTTCTAAACAAGTTTTCGACAGTGTAATAATCTGCACGGTGTTGTCAGGAGGTGCCGGAGGAGCTGCTGCAGCTAGCGATGCAGTCGGCCTGGTTCCGCAAGTCGCGTTTCAAGAAGGGCAAGGCGAAGAATCTTAACATCGGCGGATGCGGACTGGGGTCAGTGCACGATGCTTTAAAAAACTCTAAATGAAAAGTATTTGTGTTGTGAATACGTTATTATTGTGTGCAGGTACAAGGAGCGGCCCGGACTGCCCGCGTACACGGAGGAGCCGGCCAGCGTGCTGGGCGCGGGCGAGCGGCTGCAGGGACCCGCCACAGACCGCCTCGCCTCGCTCAAGCAAGCCTTCCGCTCCCAGTATAACCAGGTGTGATACACTTATATACACTTACTTGCACATATGTACACTTGTGTACACTATACTTGTGGCTACAACGTACAAGTACTTACATTTTTATATGTACGTACATTTATCTTGCATATACTTTTAGACGTAGAATTTTGTGCTTGATTTTGTTCCCTATTAAAATTAAGTATATAACTAATATTAATGTTTTTAATATGATCCAGTTCACTGCGTCAACTGACCACTCGTGGGAACAGACGCTTACATCTATCCAGCCAGGAGTGAACGCGCCCGCCGCAGAGACTGCGCCTGCGCAGCCTGAATCCAAAGCTGAGAGAGTCAGGAAGAGTGGCAAGAGGAGTCGGTGGGAGTAGAGAGGAGAGAGGGGACTGCACAGAAAGGCTACTTATTGATTACTACTGATTGTTTAGTTGTGTTGGAAATAATGTGTCAATGATCTAATAAACATTTAGACGGATGTTAGGAAGAATAGGAGAAATGTTTACATTAAAAATAAATCGTAAATGATTTGAAATTGAAGGTAATTAATAATAAAGAGGGTAGATAGAAAGGTCTTTGTGACGGATTGGTTTTACAATTTAATGGTTGTATAGTGCCTCGCTCTTTAAAATGTACGAAATTGTAATATTAAAAAAAATTAGTTTGATTATCACTTATTATGGACTCTTTGGACTTTACTAGAAGTATTTCTTATTATTAGATGTGCGTTTTTATTACCTTTTTTTATTATAATCGTCTAATTTATAGCAAAGAGTATCAGATTTTTTTTATCTGTGTTCGTGCAGTGAAAACCCTTTTGTCGCTACAAAATAATTTGTAATGTAAATATATAGGATTTATTATAAGAATATATTCGTGTAACCGTGGGTTTCTTAGCACAAAATCTCTGTTTTGTCAAAAATGACGGGAATGACGATATGTTTAGAGATTTTGGTCTCGGAAAGCAACGGTAAGTTTGTTTTGTATACAGCAGTGTACAGTCAGCGTCATATAGATCGTAACACACAAGATATGCAAATATATAGGTACACCAAAAGTAATCAATTATATCGGTACAACAAAAGTCCTCAAAATAATAGATACATTCACCCTGCTCAAATACATCGGTACATACATAGCGTCAAATATATGAGTACATGCAAGATGCTCATAAATATCGTAGCAGCCACAGCGTCATAAGTAACGAAGCAGTCAAGGTGCGCAAAAATATCGGTACATTTGACAAAATTGAACTCTATCTCTATATACTTGTGATACAATTTGGAATAAACTACTTCTGTTACATTCATTTGACACTTTGTATTAACATTATAGGTTGTCCGGAAAGTTCGTTCTGATTTTCGATATAAAGCTTACAATAGACTGTAGTTGAAGTGGATTCATTTTCGGATTTCCACCATTATTAAACGTCACAAAAATTTCTATATTGTAAAGAATTTCATTTCATTGGTTGAGATAAAAACTAATTTTTAAAATTTTAGCCAAAAATAAAAGACGTTTTAGGTATAGAGTCGTACCAATATAATTTAAAAACATTTTCAAAAATTTAAGAGAACAGGGTTTCAATTTTCCTTATAAAGCGGCACGAACTTACTGGGCAACCCAATATTTTTTTTCTCCTGTCATAACGCTTAAATATAAAAGTTTGTCACGCCGAATATGACAGATACGTATTAACTAATATCAAATTTTGCCTTGTCACAATATATATAATACTAGTTTGGCGCAGTATTCTAGTGTG